TACCGCACCCCTAAAAAATCCCACATAGGTTCTCTTTTTTTTTTTTTTTTTTTTTTTTTTGGTATCGGGGATCGAACTCGGGTCCTTGCACTTATGAGGCAGGTGGTGGAATGACTGAGCTAAATCCTCAACACAGCGTCTCATTAAATCCTCAAATCAGCTGGGCATAGTGCTGCATGACTGTAATCTCAGCACTTGGGAGGTTGAGGCAAGAGGATCTCCATGAGTTCGAGGCCAGCCTGAACCATGTAGTGAGTTCAAGGTCAGCCTGAACTACATTAGCCAGACTCTGTCAAAAAAAAAAGAAGAAGAAAGAAAGATTTCATCAGAAGGGCACAGAAGGAAGCTGAATTACAAAAGCAAAGAAGGAAGGAAGGAAGGAAAATTAGAGAGGAAGAAAAAAGCAAGCAAGAAAGAAAGGCAAAGAGGGACTATGAGTGTGGTGCACACACCTGTAATCCCAGTACTCTGGAGGCTGAGGCAGGAGGAGCGCTGCGAGTTTGAGACCAACCTGGGCTACATAGTGAGATCCTGTCTCAAAAAACCAAAAAAAAACACCAAAAAGAAGGACTATGAGAAGTCAGCAAGCAGTAGCTTCAAACCGCTAGAGACGGGTGAGCCACTTCTGGGCACGTGGTAGGCAGCAAAGGACTTTGAGCGTGAAGAAGGAAATGTGCATGGCCTTATTTTTGGCGCAATTTCCCACTCATTCTATTCCATCTACTCCATGGCTATGAACTGAATATTTACACTGAGCCAGGAAATGCACAAAACACCAAGAATACAATGTATCTGGGGGTTCACATCAAAACAATGATTTCTTGCTAGTTGCTGTCTGCGGTTCAGTTTGTGATGAGGTTATTTTCATGCTCTTCCAACTAATACCCTTATATATGTTATACTCTGTGCTCCAAATGGTGTTTTGCGCCAGTATTTAGTTATCCTCGCACCTCTGCAGTTGTAAATACTACTCGTTTTTATCTTTTTGTTTTTAAGAGAGGCTTTCACTATGCTGTTCAGGCTCGCCCTAAACTCACTATGTAGCACAGGTTGGTCTCAAACTCTCAGTGATCCTCCTGTCTCAGCCTCCCAAGTGCTGGGATTGTAGGCATGCACCGTGATGCCCAGTTTACATTCCAAGTACTATTCCATCCATATTTTACAAATGAAATTGACTCAAAATGGGAACTGATTTCCCAAAGGTCACTCATTCCTTGGAATAGTAAAAATCATAGTTTAGCTAAGTGCCATCAGATAATGAACTTGTTGGAGGCAGAATAAAGTGCTTTAGTCACCTTTGAACTCCCCAAGTACACTTGGCATGTAGGGGGCACTCAATAAACGATTAATGAATACTGGATAAAATGTTAGTCACCCATAAGCAAGAACGGGACGGCTCTGAAGTTTAATAAGCAGACATAGGCTGAATGACCATTCTTTTTTCTTTGCATAAGTGCTACATAGGATTGCAAGAGAAAGCAAAACTCAGTTAGACCAGGCCTTGGCCTTTATGAAATTGTAAAAGCCATCTTTCTTCAGTGAAAAGAAACTGAAAGTCCCTGTTTGGATGCAGTAAAGGTAGGCTTTTAGGAAAACGGTATTTATTCTCTCTTTTTTTTAGTTGACAAAACAAACAGAAAAGTTATGCCATTGTTAAATTATATAGCTAGGCCGTGAATCTTTTCTTTTTTCATTGTCTTACGGGTTGGGAAATAAATTTCTTTAACAGACTTGAGGCTCAGGGTGTAGCTCAGTTGTAGAGATCTTGCTCAGCATGCACAAAGCTACAACCATTCCAAAACAAAACAAAACTTTTTTTTTTTTTTTTTGCCCCGGGGATCGAACTCAGGACCTTGTGCTTGCGAGGCAGGCGCGGTGCCACTGAGCTAAATCTCCGGCCCCAAACAAAACATTTCATGAGGATCTTCCGGACGCTTAGTATGAGAAATGGAATACCGAACCCGGGAATTTCTATTGGAGTGGGTAGCATGATTTGAACGAATAACTTAAACTGGATCGTGAGTAGTTGAAGGCAGAATTATACCGTAGCAGCTACAGTATCTTTACTGTACCACACGACACACGCTCATTAAATAAGTGTTCCACGAAAGTACTGTATTGTGTAATCTTTCCCAGCGGAGGAGTTTAAAAAAAAACCACGTGGCTGTATTTACCTTTTCGTGTCACGTGACCCTTCACGCCCCACCTGGTCAATCTCATTCTTTTTGTTCTGACGATTTCGGAGTAAGACGTATGATTGGATATTTTATAAACACGTGATCCAATTCTCTCTTTTCTATTGGTGAATAGCGACCCAGCCCCTGGCCTATCTCCGCGTCCCCAGGGATCAAACCCCGCCCCTCGCGCCTGTATAGGCCTGGTCCTGCGCAAACTCAATTGCTAGTAATGGCTCCTGTGGGCCCTCCGTGTACTGCAGCTTCGCCTCTGTTCTCAGCTTTCTAGATCCCTGTCTAAGCCTTCTCATGCGTAGATGGGCACTCGAATGCGAAAAGGTGAACTCTTGTGGATGACCCATTCGCTTCCCGCTTTCCGATTACCAATCTCTCCGAGGTTTTTATTCCAGGAAGGGAAGAGGGCCGCGGGAAAATGAGGTGCGAGGGAGCGGAGGGGAGGGAAGATCAGGCACACGGGTTGGTGGGTGTTGGGCGAGCCAAGGCCCACTGAAGAGTCCCAAATTCGCGCTCAGATCTCTCCCCAGCGCGGATGGTGCACGTCTGCGATCCCAGCACTTTGGAAGGCGGGATGGCGGGGGTTGGGGTGGGGATGGGGCAGATCCAAACCCTTACAAGCGACCAAGTTCCTCTTGAAACTAAAATAAAATTGAAAAATGAGGTGAACATTCTTAGCCCTCGAGATTTGACTTCATGATTTGTGCCAGCCTTGAGGTGCTGAAAGAGCCTTCCTTCCCTGGTAACTACAACCGCTCTCCACTGCCCGCTGCGAGTTAGCCATTCCTGGTGTCCTTAGCTAGGGGGGCTCTCAGGCTTCTGCTTTAACTTTAGCTTGACTATTATCTGTGAGAATCTAACCATAACCTATAGACAAATGAGAGGTGTTTAAAACTGAGCCAAGGGCCAGGGCTTTAGCTCAGTGACGCCGCGCCTGCCTGGCAAGTGTAAGGTCCTGAGTTCGATCCCTGGTACCAAAAATCAAAAACAGAAACAACAACAACAACAAAACCTGAGCCAGGCATGGTGGCTCACACCTGTAATCTTGGTACTGGGGAGAAAGAGGCAGGAGGATGGCTGTGAGTGTGAGGATAAGTTCACACAGCGTGAACTACACAGGGAGATCCTGTCTCAGACAAACCAAAATAAATAAAACTAGAAGGAAAGCTTTGTATTCTCCTGGCTAGGAAACTATGTAATGTGATCTTAAGTAATTCTAGATCTTAGGTTTTTGTTTGTTTGGTTCGTTGGTTGTTTTTGTACCAGGGATGGAACTCAGGCCCTTGCAAGGCAGGCGGCAGAACTATTGAGCCAAATCTCCAACCCCTTAGTTTTTAAAAATAGTGGTAGAAGTCTGATATAGTGGTGCATACCTGTAATCCTAACATTCGGGAAGACTGAGGCAGGAGGGTTGCAGGTTCAAACCCAGCCTGGGAATTTAGTGAGACCTTGTCTCAAAAAAGGGGAGCGCCCTGGATTCAATCCCCAGTGGTACCAAAAAAAAAAAAAAAAAAAAAAAAAAAAAAAAAAAAAAAAAAAAAAAAAAGTGCTAGAGTGCTTGCCTAGTTCCTATGAGGCTCTGGCTTCACAAGTGAATAAATAGGTAAATAATTAAAATGAAGAGGACTATATATTCTCTAATCCTGTATTGTGTGCATGACTCCATGAAAATTTCCAGTAGAGAATAAGGGTAGTGGAATGGAATATTTTCTGAGGTACTTAAGGGGAAGAAGTGCTATCCTTTGTATCTTTAGTTGCTTAATACAGTGTCTGTCACTAGCCGTTGTTGAGATTTGTGGAGAGAATGGCTTGACATTCAGAAGACCCAGATTTGAATACAATTGTTAGTATTGGCTGAGCAACTGAAGAAGCCTGCTTGAAAGCACCTTAAGCTGCACATCTGCAAAAAGCTGGGATGAAGACCAGGGATTTCACTCAGTGGCATCGCGCCTGCCTTGCAAGCACAAGGTCCTGAGTTTGACCCCCGGTACCAAAAAAAAAAAAAAAAAAAAAAAAAACGTGGAATGAGATTTACAACCTTACACCTACTCAGAATTAATGACCATGGGTAAATTCACAGTTGTGTGGGTGAGAAGAACTCGTAGAATTTTCCAGATCTTGGATATCCAGGTGAACTGAAATGTGCTTCCTAGGCAGATGCGGGATGAGCAGGTATGGCCTATCCTCATTTTAGACAGAAGGCTGTCCAGAGCAACCTGTGCTTCTCCCATCGGCCTCGCTTCTCAGGGTACACTGATTTTTCCAGGCTAACACAGCAATCAGACAAGTCTTTCTGCTTTCCTCAGCGGAAACGAATCAACTTAAGAGACCCCTTGGCAATGAACTGCTCTCTCTCTCTCCCAGCGAGGTTCCAGGAAGGTTTATCATTCTTATAGCTGGCATGAGTAGAAATAATTAGAGAACTGTGTCGTAAAACACCATTCTCTTTTTAAGATTATTTGAAATATATATACATACACACACACACACACACACACTTGGTATGCTACTAAAATACTTTAATACTTGGTTAATAAAACACTCATTAACATTTATCAAAACAAAACAAGTGGTTCCATTAGACACAAGCACTTGGAATTATAAATTTCCTTCTACACTCACCCCAGTGAGTGCGCTCCCTGGGTAAGTACTCTATACACTGTCATGTCCTACATTTTCCCCAGACTATTTCTTCTGCCCGGTGACATAAAAAGGAAATGAATGCAGTTTTCCCATCAAGGACAGCTGTTTCTTAGAAAACGAGGTAAATCTCATTGGCCTGCAGTTTTACTGCTTGGCTCTGCAATACAAGCCCAGCTTGGAGATGAGCAGGCAGACAGGGTGGTTTGCTGCCCCCTACAAGATGCATGAGGAGCTTCAATGCATTTGAGGAAGAAGGGATTATGAGTCCTGGGGTTCTGAAAAGAAATTAAACAAATTGGGCTGGAGATTTAGCTCAGTGGCACCTTGCCTGCCTCGCAAGCGCAAGGTCCTGAGTTCAATCCTCGGTACAAAAAAGAAAGAAAGAAATGAAGCAAATTAATGGCGAACTGAGCTGGGAATGGGGAAGGCAGATGCTTCAAAATTCAAAACACCACAGCACTTAGAACATGGAAAAATGGACACTATATTTGAAGTAAAAGCAGGATGTAGTAGTAAAACACTAAGCACAGTGATCCCCAATACTAAATAAAAGTAATAAATAAAAATAAGATTCATTATAGCAAAAAGTTAAACTTGGGTTATCTAGGTTGTGAAATTATCGGTATTTTGTATTTTATCTCTGTCATCACCTAAACTTTGCAATAAATATATATTACTCTAGTAATACAAAATTAGTTTAAAAGCATGTTTAAAAGCTGGGCCTGGGATGAACCTCAGCGGTATGGCACCTTCCTGGCAAGCTCAACAGCCAGAGTTCAATTCCTGGTAACCAAAAAAAAAAGTAGTTGTGAGCTGGGTGTGGTAACGCATGGTTTTTAAAAAAATTATTATTGTTATTATTTTTTTTGTACCAGGGATCGAACTTGGATCCTTACACTTGTGAGGCAGGTGGCAGAACCACTGAGCTAAATCCCCGGCCCTAGCACATGGTTTTAATCCCAGCTACTCGGGAGGTTGAGGCAGGAGGATCACAAGTTTGAGGCAAGCTCAGGCAATTTAATAAGACCCTGTCTCAAAAATAAAAAATTTCTTAGCCAGGCATGGTGGTGCATGCCCGTAATCCCAGTACTCAGGAGGCTGAGGCAGGAGGAGCACCATGAGTTCAAGGCCAGGCTGGACTACTTATTTTGGACTACACCAAAAAAAAAAAAATTGTTTTTAATTTTTAAAAAGGGATAGGAAAGTAGCATAGTACCAGACTATGAATTTAATTCACAATAATGCAAAAACAAACAACTAATAAACTAGTTAAAAGCAAGCCCCCCCCAAAAAAAAACTAAACATGCAAAGTCATGGCAATCCAATTTAAAAATGGGCAAAAGGAGCTAAGCACGGTAGCTCATGACTGTAATCTCAGTACTCTAGGAGGCTGAGGCAGGTGAGTCAAAAATTCAAGCCCCCCACCAAAACAATTCAAGCCTAGCCTGGGCAATTTAGCAAGACCCTGTCTCAAACATTTAAAAAATAAGAAAAAGCCTGGCTTAGTGGTTCTGCGGCCTGCCTTGCAAGCGCAAGGACCAGAGTTCAATCCCCGGTACCAAAAAACAAACAAACAAACAAACAAAAAACGGAAATAAGCCTGGGATTTAGCTCAGTGCAAATACCCTGAGTTCAATCACCAGTACTGAAAAGAAAAGAAAAAAAGAAGGGGCGGGGAGTGGGAGGGAAAACAGGACTGTCTCTTCTCAACGCATCTACTCCTCTCAGTTGAATGGGAACGGGAATCCGCTCTCTAGGAAGGCGTTTACCTCCAGCGGCCGGACGCTCGGGAAGGCCCCTGTTTCCGGCTTACGGACATCAGGCCGGATCAGTGTGGGTCTATTAAAGGCAGCAGCTCTCCGCAGCGAGCACTCAGCTTCAGACACGCCAAGTCGTCGGAGCGTGTGGGCCCGATGTTCAGGATGGCGATCGGTATCTTCTGGTCCCGGGCGGTGAGGATGAACCTGTACCCCGAGTACACCTGCCCGCAGGAGACACGAATGAGCGCTCTCCAGATCCAACGGGAGGGGCCTCCCGAAACCCCGCTCACCCTGCAGAGGAGCAGTTACCACCCACTCCAGATACCTTCAGGGAGGATCCCACCACCAACAGGGCGTCGGCGTCTTTCACGAGCTTGTGCACAAAATCAACCTTGGCAGGGTCCACAGTGTCCCCGAAGAAGACGACATCGGGTTTCAGAGGGCCTCCACATCGAAGACAGGACGGGACCTGAAAAGTCTGTACCTGTTCGTCCGAGAGAAAGACGTCGCCGTCGGGAGCCAGGCCCTGGGCCTCCGCGCCCCAGGTGGGGTTCAGGACTTGGAAGCGCTGCTGCAGCGCCCCCCTCGGGGTCTGCTCACCACAGCCCAGGCAGAGCACCCTGAAAGCCGAGATAGGCTCTCTGAGCAGGGCGTCCTCGCTCCGGGGTGCTGTGCCCAAGCATTTCTGTGCCCTGTTTTCCCCGCGTTTTGGACATCTTTTCACGTGATCCGTTTCTCACCTTCTCTCTGCCATCATTCTATTTTATTTATTTATTTTGGTACCAGAGACCGAACTCAGATCCTTGCACTTGCGAGGTAGGCGGCGGCATCACTGAGCTAAATCCCCGGCTATACCATCCTTCTAAAAGCAGGGAAGGTGTATCTGTTTCCTCATTCCTTAGATCCTTTTTAATTGTGGTACTGCGGACAGAAGCCAGGACCTTCACACTGAGCTATGTACATCCCAGCCTTTCTTTAAAATATGTTTTTGAGGCAGCATCTCCCTTAGTTGCCCAGGTTGGACTTCAATTTGCAATCCTCCTGCCTCAGCCTCCCATTGTGCTGGGATTATAGGCATGTACCACCATGCTCAGCTGACTTTTAAAATAATTTGTGTATATACTAATTAAAAGTATTTTTACAAGCACCAAGTAGAACTGTTTCCAATCTTTTCACCAAGAACACATCTAGTACTGAAAGATCACTTACTTTTATCCATAGTACCAAAAGTAAACTGGGCATGTTGGTACACATCTGTAATCCCAGCACATGGAAAACTGGGGCAGGAGGATCCCACCAAGTTCAAGGCCAGCCTGAGTGGGAGGTGTGGCTCATCAGAGTACTTGCCTAGCATGTGTGAGGCCCTGAGTTTGAACCCTAGAACCCCCTCAAAAAAGTCCCCTATGAAATCAAAGAAGTTTTAGATTTGTTTTTAAATATTTAAAAATAGAATTGATGGGAATGGTGGTACACGCCTGTAATCCCAGAGCTCTAAGAGGCTGAGGCAGGAGGATCATAAATTCTAGCCCAGCCTGAGCAATTTTAAAACTTTAAAATTGGGGAGGTGGCTCAAAATTTGTAAATGGGGGAGATGGCTCAGTGCAAAGGTGCTGGATTCAATCCCTAGTACTGAAATAAACATTTTTAATAAAAATAAAACCAGCAAAAGCCGGGCATGGTGGCACACGCCTGTAAACCCAGCACTCAGGAGGCTGAGGCAGGAGGGTTGCTGTGAGTTCGAGTCCATCCTAGGCTACATAGTGAGTTCCAGGTCAGTCTCAACTACATAGTGAGACCCTGTCTCAAAAAAAAACGAAAAACAAAACAAAAATAAAACCAGCAAAAAAGAGAAGAGATAACTTGATAAAACTTGAAAAAAATCCATGAGTCATGTGATTGTATATGGGAATTCATTATACATCATCTCTTTACTTTTGTAAATATTTGAAATTTTCATGGTGAGAAAACGTTTTATTGTGTTTTTTAATCAAGCCAGGGGCACCAGTCCCTCAGGCTGACCTCCCTGACCCTCTCTTTCTAACCCTGCCTAGACTTCCCCCAATCTATTTTTATCATGGTGCTCTCTTACTCAGAAACCACTAACAGGCTGCTTTGTGTCTCACAACAGGCCTATGCTGCACTGCCTGATTGTCAAATGCACCCGGATGTGGGTCCCTCCCTCCCACAATTTGATTTCATGCTAGTCCCCTTCCCAAACCCTGCCTGGAGGTCAGGCCAGACTCCCCTGGGTGCTATATATTCCCTTCATTAGCAAGCTACTCTTTCCTCCAAGTCTAGTCAAACTCGAGCTAGTCTCAGGCCTCACCTTAACCATAAGAGCTTCCTCGGTCATTCCCATCTTGGCTAATTCTGGTTCTTTAAATGTGCAGTTATCTATATCAAAGGGCCGCACAGCCTGGCACAGTGGCTGAGGATAGGAACCCAGCCTGGGCAACTCAACAATTTAATGAGACCCCATCTCAAAATTTAAAAAATAAATAAAATAAAAGGCTGGGGAGCTGGGCTTGGTTGTGCACACCTGTAATCCCAGCACTTGGGAAGCTGAGGCAGGAGGATCGCTGTGAGTTCGAGAACAGCCTGGGCTACACGTGAGTTCCAGGTCAGTCTCAACTACATAGTGAGACCCTGTCTCAAAAAAACAAAACAAAACAAAACAAAAAAAGGCTGGGGATGTAGCTCAGTGCTAAGCCCCTAGATTCAATCTCCAGTGTGAAAATAAACATAGGGCTGGAGATTTAGCTCAGTGGTTCCGCCTCCTACCTGGTAAGCACGAGGACCCAAGTTCGATCCCTGGTACCAAAAAATAAAATAAATAAATAAATGAAAAGAAAAATAAAAAGGACCATACAGTTAACAGTCATGTTTGTGGTTTTGGTTTGGTGTTTTTTTGTTGTTGTTGTTTTGTTTGGGGTTTTGTTTTTTGTTTTTTGTAACAGGGATTGAACTCAGGACCTTATGCTTCATGCTTGCAAGGCAGGCGGTGGAACCACTGGACTAAATCGCCAGCCCTGTTTGGTTTTTTGTTTTGTTTTGTTTTGTTTTTTTGTATGAGGGATTGAACTCAGGTCTTGGTGCTTGCAATGCAGGTGGCAGAACCACTGAGCTAAATTCCCCCACCCACCTGGTTTGGTTTTTTGAGACAGGTTCTCACTATGTAGTTCAGACTGGCCTTGAACTACGGAGCCCAGACTGGCCTCCAACTCACAGTGATCATCCTGCTTCAGCCTCCTTGCCTGTGTACACCCTACTCCTTCCTTGAGTTCAGTAGGAACCACTCCAAAACGACTTGCTCCCAAATCCTTATCTCAAGGTGCAACTCAGAAAATGTGCTCCAGACAGCCAGGGTCACCGCTCTCAGGGAACTGCACCGTTTTGTGATGAGCCCGTGCCCTCCCGCACCTGTGCATGCATCCGTGGAGCTCGGTGAGCCGCTGACTCCCAGCCTTGGTGTGCAGAGCGTCCACGTTTTGAGTTACCAACCAGTGCAGCTTCCTGAGTCTCTCCCAGGTGCTCAGAGCCCAGTGTGCCGGGTTGGGCTGGTGGGAGGAGAACTGAGGCCAGCCCACGAAGTTCCGCGCCCAGTACCGCTGGCGGATGGGGGCGCTGCGGACGAAATCGCTGTGCTGGATGGGCCTCCGGGCCGTGCGGGCGTAAAGTCCCACCTTTTCGGACCTGTAGTCGGGGATTCCGGACTCGGTGGAGATTCCCGCCCCGGTCATCACTAGGAGCTTCTTGGAAAGGGTGATGAAGCGCTGGAACTCTCTGACTTTCTCAGGATTCAAAGGAGGGCTCGGTGGCACAAATAGCCCACTGGATGCACGCGAGCACTGCTGGTTGAGGTTTGTGACCCAATGGCCTTTTGTTGACCCGAAGCTCAGCCCATAGCTCATCCTCATCCTAGACAGAAGAAAACCTCCTGGGACGATCTGACTTTTGCAAGCAAAGGTAACCACCAACTAATGAGTGGCTGCACAAAATGTGGTCTATCCATAGGGTGTTTGTGGAATACCATTCAGCTATCAAAAAGATCTGTGCCGGCCATGGTGGCGTCTGGAATTGCAGTGCTCAAGAGGAGGCTGAGGCAAGAGGATCGCCTTGAGTGTGAGGCCACCCCGGGCTACATAGCGAATTCAAGGCCAGGTGGAACTACAAAGTGTACAAAGAAAGACCCTGTCTTAAATAAATGAATAAATAAATATGTGGGAATGAAGTACATAGGGTTATATAAAGAGGGCTGGGGTTTTGGCTCAGTGGTTCCACCACCTGCCTCGCAAGCGCAAGAGCCCAAGTTCAATTCCTGGTACCAAAATAATAATAAAATAAAGCGAATTCAAGGCCAGGTGGAACTACAAAGTGTACAAAGAAAGACCCTGTCTTAAATAAATGAATAAATAAATATGTGGGAATGAAGTACATAGGGTTATATAAAGAGGGCTGGGGTTTTGGCTCAGTGGTTCCACCACCTGCCTCGCAAGCGCAAGAGCCCAAGTTCAATTCCTGGTACCAAAATAATAATAAAATAAAAATAATATTACAGTGGTGCCTCCCCTGCCTTGCAAGCATAAAGTCCTGAGTTCAATCCCCAGTACTGAAAAAAAAAAAAAAGATAGATAGATACAATGATTATTGCCGGGCGTGGTGGTACACACCTGTAATCCTAGCACTCAGGAATCGGAGACAGGAGGATCTTGTGAGTTCAAGGCCAGCCTGGGCTAGTGAGACTGTCTCAAAAGAAAAACATTTAGCAACTCAGCAAGACCCTCTCAAAATAAAAATAAAAAGGGTAGGCACGTAGCTTGGTACAAAGGCCCTAGGTTCAAGCAAAAACTAAAACCAAAATAAAACAACAACAGGGCCAGGGATGTATGTAGCTCAGGGGTACTGCCTGCCTGGCAAGCACAAGGCCCTGGTACCAAAAACAAAACAAAGCAAAAACAAACAAAACAAGCAAGCAAGAAAGAAAAAGAAAAGCTTGAGTAGCATCCTTATCTCCCCCAAATAGTCTACCCTAAATTGCATTTTGGAGCTGTTTACTGGTCATACTTTTTTTACTTTTCCTTCAAACTATGGCCTTGAACATGGTGTGCAAGGGCTCTGTTACTGAACTGCACCAACAGACCCAACTGGTGAAATGTCAAGACTTCTCCAGGTCACGTCTGGAAACTGCCAACCTAAAAAGTAATACTCAGTAAACTTTTACCATGAAATGTTATGAGGAGGGTGATGAGAGCCAACAGCAGCAAGACACTGAGAAAGAGCTGGGGAACAAGAATCCCCTGGAAATGCATACAGTGTTGTTTTATGGAAGATAAAATAGGAATTAGAAGGGCTGGGGATTTAGCTCAGTGGCATGCGCCTGCCTTCCAAGCACAAGGTCCTGAATTTGATCCCTGGTACCAAAAAAATTTTTTTTAAATCTCTAATACCTTCCACAAAATAAAAGTCTTGTTTATACAGTAGACTATTTCATAACAGTCTAAGCCAATCTTATCTCCCTGGTCTCTTAAGAACCTAAGCCAGAATTATATTTATGCTACAGCCCTCAAGTGAAAATTAGTTTCAAATGGCTGGTGAATGAACCTGTGTGTTTTGGATTATTGAAGAAAAAGTAATGGACAGAGGAACAAAAAATTGGTAAGGAGGGTTCTAACATAACATAAGGCCTGGCCTGCTGGGCATGTTGACACACACCTGTAATGCCAGCTACTTGGGAAGCTGAGGCAAGATCTCAAATTCAAGGCCAGCCTAGGCAATTTAGTGAGGCCCTTTCTCAAAATACAAAGGGCTACTACTGTACATAGTGGTGAAAACCTGCAATCTCAGCACTCAGAGGCTGAGGCAGGAGGATTATTTTGAGTTCAAGGCCAGACTGAACTACATAGTGAGACCGTGTCTCAAAAAAATGTGTGTGTGTGTGTGGCTAGGAATGTAGCTCAGTGGAAAACAAAGACAGAAAGAGATGGGGAAAGAAAGAGAAAAAGAAAGAGAGAGAAAGCTGGACTGGACAAGGATGTAGCTCAGTGGTACAGCAATGCCTACCTGGCAATCTCAAGGCCCTGGTACCTGAGTTCAAGTCCTGGTACCAAAGGGGGAGAAAAAGACCAAAAGAGGAAGAAAAGGAAGAGAAGGAAAGAAAGATGAAAGAAAGAAAGAGAAGGAAGAAAGGAAGAGCTATTTCATCTTTCCCAGTAACACCAGGCTGATCACAACTGAATTCCTTATAAATTTTACAATGTCGGCCAGGCGTGGTGGTGCATGCCTGTAGTCTCAGCACTCTGGGAGGCTGAGTGAGAGGCTTGCTGAGAGCTCGAGACCAATCTGGGCTACACAGTAAGTTGGAGGCCAGCATGAACTACTTAGAAGACCCTGTCTTAAAAATAAATAAATTGGCCTGCCTCGCAAGCACAAGGTCCTGAGTTCAATCCCCCATCCCCCCCAAAAAAAGTTTAAAACGTTTATTTGTTTATTTATTTATTGGGTACTGGGGATCAAACTTGAGACCTTGTGCTTGCGAGGCAGGCAGCAGAACCACTGAGCTGCATCCCCAGCCCTAAAATGTTTAAATAAATAAATAAAGGGTCCAGGTTGTAGCGCAGGGGTACTGTGTCTTCCTGGCAAGTCCAAGGTCCTGAGTTTGATCCCCAATACCAAATAAATAAATAAAAGGTGCTAGGCATGGTTGTGCATGTCTAATGCCAGCACTTTGGAGGCTGAGGCAGGAGGATCGCTGTGAGTTCGAGACCAGCCTGAGCTACATAGTGAGTTCCAGGTCAGTCTTACTACATAGTGAGACCCTGTCTCAAAAAACCAAAAAAAAAAAAAAAGAAAAGAAAAGAGGCTATCTTTCCCCCAATAATCTTTAAATCCCTCATAACCCATTATTATTCCACATATGACTATATCTAAATATGTCTCTATAAGAATTAAATTTACCTACATCTGTTGTTAATGTTATCCCTTATGGAACTATTCTATAAGCATACTTCCTCTTTTAAAATCAGAATTATTCTGGGCATGGTGGCAACCACCTGGAACCCCAGAACTCTGGAGGCTGAGACAGGAGGATCCCTGGGAGTTCAAGGCCAGACTGGGATACATCGTGAATTCAAAGACACCCTGAATTATATAATGAGACCCTGTCTCTAAAAACAAACTACTACTACCAGTAATAATAATAATAATAATAATAATAATAATAATAATCAGAATTATCTTATTTCTCCACAAGCTAAGAAAAGCACATTTCAGGTGTAGCACGTCAGGTTCACTGAGGTCTACCCCATGCTGGGATCAAACCCATGGCCTCCAGCATGCTAAGTAAGAATGTTAACATTGAGCTACACTCTTAGCCCAATATATTAGGTTTTGCTAAAGAAACTGTTGCTCAGACCTTAAGGCTTTTGTTTTATTCATGTAAATAAGCACGTGAACATATTTTATTCCTTCATTTCTCTCGTACTATTTGTTTACACTCCCTTGGAAATTCTGCTGCTTGATCAAGGGACGGGGGAGCGGGACAAGACCCATGAGGATCAGCTTTTCTAACTGTAAAAACAAGGCTTTGACATATTCTTGATATAATGCAGAAATTCTCTACTGACACGCACCCCTCCCCCTTAGGCAAACAATATTTTATTCTTGGCTCTCCAGACCTGAATTCAGGCCTTAGCTTTTTCCCTTGACATTCTACAGCAACGCGGACAGCTAAACAAACGCTAACTTGTCGGGTTTCCTGAAGCCGAAGGCCAGGGAAATCCTACTGAACACATGTTCCGAGGGAACAGCTGTTCTCGTCCAGGTTCTACCAACCGCAAACGAGGAAAAATGCAACCCCCTTACAAGAAATGAACAACTTTTAGAAATCTGCAGTCTGCACAGAACACACTTACCTTTCCCAGTTTAGGGGACACTTGACAGCCGGTAGTGGGACTATCATGCCTATGCATTTTGGGAAGTGTAGTTCATGAAGACAAAGTGATTCAATAAAAACTACAAATCCCACAGTCCTAGAGTGCCATACTTGAGGGCCCCAGCTCACCTGGAGCGCCCCCTGTCGGCCTTCTATGGTGAAAATTTGGAATCTTGGTCCTTGCGCCTTCAACCAACCATAGACAGGTACATAGTTCTCTTTCAGAGGGAAGTGGTTAGACTTGGGTACCAATGCTATGAGTGCAAAATCGTTACCCAAATAGGGTTAATTTAGGAATTCTTTGTTTGTTTGTTGCTTTTTGAGACAGGGTCTCCCTATATAGCTCAAACTGGCCTTGAACTCCCCATGTAGTCCAGGCTGGCCTCGAACTCACTGCGATCCTCCTGCGTCAGCCTCCCGAGTGCTGGGATTACAGGTCCACGCCCAGCGAGTAACTTTTAATAATGAATGTACATTTGACCCACCTTCATCTTCAATATTTGTGTCCCTTTCCATTCACCACAAGGGATCAATTAAGTTCACTTCTATGAATAAAATACTTTGCAATGGGTTATGAAGAAATAGATTCACAACTATCTGAAAATTTGGGTTTTTTACATATGAACAGTTACTCTTTTTTTTTTTTCAGTACTGGAGGATGAACCTGGGCCTGTGCATGTTAAGCAGTGCTCTGCCATTAAGCTATATCCCCAGCCTCTTTTTCTTTTATTTTGAGAATATGAACAATTAAAGCCAATTGTAATACAGGTGGACTAATATGCTCACCCACTTGACTCCTTTAATGATATTTATTATCTTATATTTGATTAGATCAATCAACACAATGCCTGGGTCTCATTCCCAGAGATCCTGACTTCACTGACTGAGTGAAGAGGCCTGCAGGCACCAAGTCTGTTTGCTCACTTCCTGGTTGGTCCTAATATGATGCCAGTGAAAATCCCTGCTGGATAGCACTGCCTAAATAAGGCAGCTACTAGTATATATCTTAGAACATAATCTAGTAGGAACTGTGGACTCCAGCATGAAGGACTGTGTCCTCCTATTTTGAAATGAGCCAAAGCCTAGAAGTGAGAAGGAAGCTAGAGACAAATGAATATTGGTGAAGTGACTTCACTAAGCAATTTGGGAGCAGGGTCACGAGCCACAACTCAGGTCACTATCTGAAGGACCTGCTAGGTAGGCTTCAAGATCAGTCACCCAGCAGCTCTATGTGCCTGGTTTAATCTGATCACATTGGCTAAGGTAACCAGTCTATAAATCAAAACACCGCATATCTAATGTTGTAGCTGCATGGCAGAGGGTAGAGCATGTGCTTAGCATAAGGCAGGCCCTGGGGTCAGTTGTTGGCACACAGAAACACACACACACACACACACACACACACACACACGTCCTCCCTACAAAGCAATCCAGCATATTTTCTGTGACAGCATCAGACTAGTGACTTTTTCCTTCTTGGTTTGACTAGAAAAATTTTAAATCCATGCTTTTTTTTTTTTTATTTTCCAAGTGGAATCAATGTCAATAACAGATCAGCTGAAAGTATAGAGCTAATGTGCTCTCAGGTCATGTTCTGGAGGGAAGTTGTCTGAGTTTTTAAATTTTTCTTCAATGCATTGGAAAGTCACTTGTGGAGGGGGTTGTGGTTATTATCTAAAATGTCCCCTCAAGCCGAGTGTGGTGGCACACAATGGTAATCCCAGCACTCGGGAGGCTGAGGCAGGAGCTTCACTGCAAATTGGAGGCCAGCCTGGGCTACATAGTGAGTTCAACGCCAGCCTGAACTACAGAGTGAGACCTGTCTCAATAATAACAATAATAATAATAACAAGAAGAAGAAGAATAAAATTGGAAATCTTTGAAATTAAAAAAAACAAATAAATAAATTTAAAAAATGAAATGTCTCCCCCAGCCAAATTGCACATGTCTGTAATCCTAGCCCTTGGAAGGCTGAGGGGGGAGGATCGCCAGGAGTTTGAGGTTTGCCAGTGCTATATATTGAGTCCAAAGCCAGTCTGGACTATAAAAACAAAACAAAAAAGAAAGGAAAGAAAAACCTGATAAAATAAAATAAAACATCCCCCCAAAAGTTCATTGTATTACCACATATCTGGTTGCCAGCTAATGGGCTTTTTTTTTTTTTTTTTTTAAGACAGGGTCTCCCTATGTAGTCCAGTCTGGCCTGGGACTCACTATGTAGCTCAGGCTGGCCTCAAACTCACAGCAATCCTTCTGCCTCAGCCTCCTGTGTACTGGCATCACAAGTGTGCACCACCATGCCAGCTAATGGGCTTTTGAAATGACTGGGTCCTAAGAGCTCTGACTTCATCAGTGGATTAATGCATCTGTGAGGTCATAATTGATGGCATTATTCAGAGGTGAGGGAAATGGAAGGAGGCCTAGTTTAAGGGAGTGGATGAGGGGTTGGAACTTGGGGACTATATCTGGCAATTTAGCAATTTAGGGAAAACTTCTCTGTCTCAAAATTGTTTAAAGCTGGGGTTTAGCTCAGTGTAAAGGCCTTGGGTTCAATCCCCAGTCCAAAAAAAGAGTGGGGGAGGAACTGTTTCTTTTGTAAAAATTGTTTGACTTTTTTTTTTTGTACTGGGGATCGAATTTAGGACCTTGTGCCTATGAGGCAGGCAGTGGCACCACTGAGCTAAATCTCCAGTCCAAGATATAGATTTTAAACAGCTTTCTACTTGCGAAAGGAATCAGGGAATAGGGTGAAGGTTACTTCCAATTTTATATACTGTGGATATTTCTGTGGGAATAGTCTTTCATCCTCTCCTGAGAAAACTCTTTTTGAGGGCCAGCGATTTGGCACAGTGGTTCTGCCGCCCTGCCTCTCAAGTACAAGGTCCTGAGTTCAATCCCTGGTACCGCAAAAATAAATAAATATATAAATAAGATATTATAAACTGGGGATTTAGCTCAGTGGTTCTGCCGCCTGCCTTGCAAGAGCAGGGACCCGAGTTCGATCCCCGGTACAAGAAAAAAAAAAAAGTAGTATGGTAAAGTGAAATAAATCAAATCCATATTCTGGCATCAGCAAATCGCATGATATTACATGATTTCATTTATTATCAGGTACCTAGAGTGGTCAGACTCATAGGCTTTGGAAAGAGGGGAATAAAAACTCAGGAGTTTAATGAGTATAGAGTTTAAATTTGGGAGAACAGAAAAAGGTTCTGGAAATGGATGGTGGCGATTGTAAAACGATGTGAATATACTCAGTGCCACTGAATTTACACTTTTAAAAAGGTAAATTTTATGTGGTAAGTGGTAAAATGTATACACAAATTTTATTGTGTTTAAAGCCTCTTTGGAGAAGGTAGTTACAATGTGAAACGGGCCACATTGAACGCGCTGATTCACGTTTCTCTAATCTTTCCTTGCTGTCTCTGAGTTATTAGCATGTTTCCTCCCATAGTGCTTTGCTTCATTCTCTGCCAAAACCTATTTAAATAAAGTCACAACCGAACCGCCTATATAGCTCCAAATCAGCTTTATATCTTGTTGTTTAGTTGTATTGTTTTCAAGAAAAAAATCATTGACAGTTTTTAACCTTCAAGTCAAACTCACCTTTCTGTAATAGGAACTTCACTTATTGGGAGTGATGACCAGGGGGTGGTGCCTTTCAGCTTTGCGCAGTGGCAGTATCGTAGCCAATGAGGTTTATCCGAGGCGCGATTATTGCTAATTGAAAACTTTTCCCAATACCCCGCCGTGACGACTTGAAATATAGTCGGCATTGGCAATTTTTGACAGTCTCTACGGAGACTGAATAATGTGTTTAACAGTAGAGATGTCTTAGAAAGGGTTTAGTTAGTGGTTATTTCAGTTCTATCGTTTTTCATTTATTTTATTTTTATTAGGTAAGTCTCGGAGTTTCTATGCTGTTGTGACGATTTCCGTCCTTGGCGTTTACAGGGTCTCCGGAGTTTTCTAGACTAGGCGAGATCGCTGAGTAGTTTCTCTGCGCCGTGACAGACACATCCAGCTCGACGATGTAATTGAAACTTGCTGCTTATTTTATTATTATTCACAAGTATTTTTCGCCCGGCTACTTGTATCCCCAAACCGCTCATTTAGCTGGCTTTCCCGCCGATGTTTCTGAATGTCTCAACCCAGCATTCTCTATGACGTCAGGTTAATCTGCATGTGAGTTCCCAGCAGCCCAAGCGAAAGCTTTTGCTATTTCAAAAATTTTACTATGGGGGCACAAGATTATCTAATGATGAGAAACTTCCTGCCCAGGTGAACCTTAATCATAAGTATTCCCACGGGAACGCGTCATACATACAAACTCGCAGGTAGTCACTCAACCTCAGCGCAAAGACAGTCGTTATCCGTGGGAGAGCAGAACGTGCACCCTCCCTTTTCAGCTTTGCGCAGTGGCAGTATCGTAGCCAATGAGGTTTATCCGAGGCGCGATTATTGCTAATTGAAAACTTTTCCCAATACCCCGCCATGACGACTTGAAATATAGTCGGCATTGGCAATTTTTGACAGTCTCTACGGAGACTGAATAAGTGAGTTTCGAAGAATATATAAACTTATTTTTCAATAGCTCATGTGGTATATTTTTTATTTGTTTTGCAGTGATTTCTGTAGTGGGCAGTGGTTATGCCGAACAGGATAATTTCTTTTAAGCAGGAAAAGTGTGGATAATTTGTTATGATGCATGAGGGTATTGCTAGATTTGTAAACTTCTTTGACACAGGAGAGTCTAAATTTAGTGTGATATTCTTTTCTTTATTCAAGTGCCTTGCAGTTTATTTTCGTTACCTCTGAAGTTGGGGTACACCCGTTCACAGGGTCATTAATGGGCAGAAATGAAGAGAGCTCCTACGCCCTTCCCTATAAACTCTTCCAGCAGGTCTAGACCTCCCCAGAACCAATAGTGCAGTCTGGCACGGCTGGATTTGAAAGCAAGTCCTTTACCTTACTGTTACTTTTGCTTGCACTGTTCTGACCTCTTCCACTTTCGTCCTGTCAGCCTTGACACCTAGGAGTCACACTTGTGGGCATGGCAGATCCACCAGTCCTCCAACACTACTCTGACGTGCGGCAAAAGGATGTGATCACCGAGGGAAAAGGTGAAGTGTGGCAGCAGCAGCTGATGGTTCAGAAGGCGCTGCGGTGTGCTACATTGGTACTCTGCTTCAAGGAACTGATAGTTTAGAGACAAACCACAAACAAGTAAGCAAATCTACTAAGGCACTATCTACTCTTGAGCACTTACTGTGCTCCTAACTCCGTTGCAAAGTGCTTCATTTAATTCTCACACCTCCCTCCACCTGCTCATTTCCGGGAAGTGCAGGCGAAAGCTCTACCACTGAGCTACACCCCAGTCCCTCTTCCTTTTTTAAAAAATTAAATGCAAACAACTTTGAGGTTTAATTAACATTCATACGGTAATGTGCACATTTAAAGTATACAATTTGACGTTACCCAATGCAGGTCATGAAATCACTCCCCAAACTTAGTTTATTTTCCTTTGTAACCCTGCCCTCCCACAGTCTGATCTCTTCCAGCTCCTGCTCTCCCATCTCTCCCTGTTACCCCAACCCCCCAATCCCAAGCAATCACTGCCCTGCCTTTTTGTTTTCCCCACTGCTGGGGATTGACCTAAGGCTTTCCCACTGAGCTACATCCCTAGTCCTTTTCTTTTCTTTTCTTTTTTGTTTGTTTGTTTGTTTGAGAAAGGGTCTCACTATGTAGTTGAGACTGACCTGGAACTCACTATGTAGCCCAGGCTCCTGGTCCTTTTCTTGAGACAGCTCTCACTAAGTTGCTCAGACTGGGTTTGTACCTGTGATCCTCCTGGCACAACCTCCCAGGGTGCTGAGATTACAGGTGTACTACAGTATGCTGGGCTGTATGTGACTTTTTTCATTAAGCATGATATTCTTGAGGTCCATTCAGGTTATACATATAAATAATTCATTCTTTTTTCTTGCTGATTATCTATTACATGGAAGCACCAGTTTGTTCAGCTTTTCACCTACAGAAGGACATCTGGGTTGTTTGCAGTATTTTGTCGAAACAAATAAAACTGCAAAGAATATTCCTTTTTTAAAATTTTTATTAGTACATGTTTGCAGTACATAACGATTATGTTCACTGTGGGGAGTTGGTACATGTAAATTCTTTTTTTTAATCCCCTTTTCTCCCTCCAAAACTGATGAGAATATTTCTGTACAAGTTTTTGTGTGCAGTTGTGTAAAAAACTGCCAAATTATTTTCCAGAGTGAACTAATGTTATTCTGTGATAATATCGTGAAAGAGTTGGGTCCACCATGGTGTGACATTGGTGGGACAGAAGGCTGGGATGACAAACTCCTGAGCACAGTAGCAAGGCAGGTTTCAACAGACCATCCTGAGACCCTGATCAAACCACAGAACCAGAATGTTTTCAAGGAATGGGAAATTGAGCTTTTTTTTTTTTTTTTTT